TGTAGTGTATCGATTCATATCAATTTCAAGGGGCGTCGTAAGGTGACAGTTACGAGGGTTCAATAAACGGGTAGATATGCTTTTTCCAATCTATATTCTATCGCATAAGTTATTTGGGTTCATAATCAAATAAACAGTGTGGTGATGGTGATCGATATTGTGTCATTTTACATATCCAATAGTTTAAAGGAGACAAGTATACAATTATCGGAGTAAATTAACCGTGACACTTGTGTAACAGGTACGAGTAGCACTGCACCAAATTATCGCATAGCTTGAACACGCGATTCCTTTGCAGATAACACTACTCGTATTTCGTGGTTTAAATACTATCGTTTATATTATTAAGTGCTGACAGTTTGTTGTGAGAATTGTTGCTGTAACAACGATTAATGCTCTCTATAAGTTTTAAGTTTTGTTACTGAAAGTTTAAAGTAGTTTTAGATTTATGACTGTAGTTCTGCAAATTAGTTTATGTCTAATTCCCTGGATCAAACAAAGACAAAGGATATTTAACGTCGAAGGAAAATGTACATGAGTAATGAACTCACGTACGACATCTTACTAATATTATAAATGCAAAAGCTTAGATGGATGGATGGATGGAGTTTGTAGCCTAAAATGCTGATCGAATCCTTATGAATTTTGGCATAGACGTAGAGGATAGTGTGGAAGAACAGCTAGTTTACAATAAAAATAAGAAAGATATAAAACCGACTTCACAATTCATTATTAAAAATAAACTATATTTAAATCTACTAATTTACGCGAGGCGTACCAGTTACGAAAAAAAAAAACAAATTACCAGGGAAAAAGAATACGTATCAGATTACAAAAGAATGATAATTCAATTTTTATAAAAAATGGATAATGAAAACCTCAACAAAAGTATACCGCGCGCCTACAAAGTCATTAACGTTCTTTTATCACGCAAAATGTTTCGGCAAACTTGCCAGATATCGGTGTAAACTTTTTCATGTTTTTCGATTAATATTAGCTTGGATCGTAATGGTAAATCTTCATAACGCAGATTTTTTATAATAAAAGGGGCAAACGGTCGGCGGGAACACAGAGGTGGTCAACGACGCCCATGGACATCCGGAACACTAGAAGAACAGATGCGTTGCTGGCCTACGAATATAGGGCTCATAAACTAATTTATAGTACTCATTTATTGCATTGTAGTGATTGTAATACTTGACTAGTAAGACGTCCCTAATAGTGAAAAAGCTGAATTGTTACCTATAGAAATATTTACATTGTATATTGTCGAACTTTGATAAGTTTTACAACGCATTTACATTCAGAGAGCAGTGAAATTGATTAATACTTAGTTTTAAAATATCACATTCACTGTATTAAAATATTTAAGCAACGAAAATGGATTCGTTTTAGAATTTAAATTGTAATCAAGGAACACAGCTGTAAAACATTTGCAAGTATATGCTTGAGTAGCTATTTCTATTCATTATGCCAAGGTCTGATGACAAACAAATTGGTAGCAATCGTAACGTTTACGATATACGTTTCCTTTAGATAATCTGCTTCCTAGAGTAGGGAAGACAAACATAGTCAAATTCAAATGAAATGGTTATTCAAATTTGAACTTTGTAAATATCTCTTATTAATGAACAAGAAGGATGTATGTTTGTATGAATGAAGACGTAAATATGTGTGTTACGACTGTGTTAAATGAAAACCTCTGCTTAGAGAACAGATCTCGGATAATCTGGCTAGTATTGTTTTTAAACTTTATTTGACAAAGATGTGACTAAAGAAATGTAATAAATTAGTTTTCAATCTATTCTCTTGGTAAGCGAAAATGATACCTACGCATTAAATCAGATTAAAACACGATTTATTAGTCTGGTTACAAATATCAATTCATTTGAACATTACAAGACATTAACTACTGCAGAGAAAATCACTAATACTAAAATAATTTTGTATACCAAGGCTAATTCTTTGAAAATTTATGACAAAATTACAGCAACATATTGCGATATTTTAAGTACTTCCCGGTTGTCAGTCATAAATACGACGTCTGATATAAATACAAAAAAAATAAAGCTTAACAACTGGGATCTACAGTTTGAGCCTACAATTAAAAAAAAATTAAAACTAGCTTTTTGTACAGACAATTTAGGCTTTATCGAACCCGGTCTAAGCTATTAAGATATCCTAAAAAAACATAAAAGGAGAAAAATTCGCAGGTGGATTGCTTCAAAAAAAAAAAAAAACTAGCCCTCGTAAAACTAATATTACCATCCTTGAGAAACCCATTAACAAGTTTACCTTTTACATAAAAAAGACATGTGAATGAAAGTTGTGTTTTTTCCTTTTAAATTCTCCAAGGTGTCATGTACATTGTTGCATGATGACTTAAATTCAAGCAAAGGCCGAACAACGATTACACCCGCTGACAGTGATTGGCTGCCAAGGGCTGACAGCTCTGGTAACTGACACACTGATTACTCACGATAGTCTTGTATCCTAGGGATCGAATTTTAAACGAAATGTACTAATTATTGAAAAGCTTTTGACCGCGACATCGTCCGCATGGAATCAGAAAAAAAAACAAAGTAGCCGTCGCCTAAGGGTAGGCAACGCATCTGTAATTACGGATATCTATGGACAGCAGTCGCTTTGCCATTTCGGCGGATTCATTTATCCGCTTGTTCGTTTGCCTTATGATAAAAAAGCCTATGTTCTTCCAGACTATGCTCTACACCTATGTCAAATTTAATCGAGATCCATTGAGTTGTTTAGGTGGCAAACTCTAACAAACATTCATTTCATCCAACTATCTAGACTTTCGCATTTATAATATTAGTATGGAATAAAAGAGGAAAGCGTTCTTATTTTTTGACTCACATTAAATGATACTGGTTGTCAAAGCTTATGAAATTATAAGAGAAAATTACAAAGCTCGGTGCTGATGCAACATTAAAACGCTTTTATGTCGTAACATTTTTACATTTATATCAATATCGATCTCAAATATAAATGGAAGTCCAATGCTATAAGCAACATGTCCCATACACCAAGTCCATAACAATAATTGGCTTCTTTTACTTATCACTAAATCAAGGCGACCATCGATCACATATAAATGGCTCATTGGCATTTTATAAATACTTATTCAATGTTATTGACAACTTCCACAATTTAAAACCAACTGATTTAAACAGAGATGGACTTCGTATGTTTAACCGATTGATCATACTAATATTATAAATACGAAAGTTTAGGTGGATGGATGGATGGATGTTTGTTAGAGTTTGTAGCCTAAACAGCTGAACGGATTTCGATGAAAATTTGTACAAATGTAGAGGATAGTCTGAAAGAACATACAGGCTACTCACTCATCATCATCCACTTGCCCTTATCCCTTATGGAGGGTCAGCACAGTATGTGCTGGTCTTCCATACATCTATATCAGCCGTCATATCTGAATCCACTCTTTTCTTAAGCATATCTTCTGTCACACAATCTATCCATACTTTCTTCGGTCTTCCTCTTCCTTTGTAGCCATCTACATTCAATCTCAACACTTTCTGGTTTATGGTATACAGGCTACTCACTATTGTTTTCAATTTCACGCGAACAGAATCGCGGGCGAAGGCTAGTTCAATAATAAAGGTAAAACAAAACTAATTACTCAATTTAATAGCAAATAACAGACAGTCAGACAATCACTCACCCTGAAGAAGGACCACCAACGGGTTTGAAACTGTCGGTGCCTACACCGAATGTTATCAAGTGAGTTTAGTAAATTATTCCGTTCGTTTAATATTATTTTAACATACGTGACTCCGTCCACGTGGAATAAAAAAAAACAAAAGTGGGTAGCCTATGTGTTCTTCCAGACTATCCTCTACATCTATACCAAATTTAATCGAAATCCGTTGAGCCTATTTGGCTACAGACTCTAACAAACATCCATCCATCCATCTAAACTTTCGCATTTGTATGTATGATTAAATAGAGAAAAGTAACACTAGATTGCCATAAGACAAACGGAAGAAATCGTTCACGTGTGCAGTTGTTTATTTTTACATATTCAAAAACGCTAGTCTGTTTGATAAAACAAAATTAATGATATTTATTTTAACTAGTCCTATATCTTTGATCTCAGAAGAGCAGCTGCCGCATCGTAATCGACGATTAGGAAATGTTGATTAACGATTATTTAAGATTATTTAAACATGATGACACTTTTTGATCTGTAGCAATAAGAACATGTGTGTGGTTCCCCGAGATTAAAGTTAAAATTAAAAATTATTTTAAGTTGAAATAAAAAAGGTGCTTCTGGTTTCTAAGAGAGGAACTATTACAACGAAAGTCAATTAGAAACAATGTAAACGACTATTTAAATGATGATTTTAGACACAAGCATTCGTGATGGATGCGAACAATTGCTAGTCGAATGGATTATTACCTATTTTCTAGTTTCACATGTCGGAATACATAGTACTCAGTCAATGAATAAACACAAACGAAATATTTCAACTGATTTTAAACCTTATTGCTATAGTAATAGAGTTTGATATTCTGTGTTCGCTCGATGTGTAACTGCAGTCGCTATTTGTGACTGTTCCAAACATTCTGTGTGTAATTTACACGCATTGTTCCGCTTTTTTTTATTGTCTTTCGCAGACACTACAGATAATATCATTTAATGTTTGTAAATAAATCGCATTGATTTTTAACATGGACAAATTGTAACAGAATTGTATTTACAAAATACGTTTTATTGCTTGACTGTAAATTCAACTATTATAAGTATCTCATTCATTATATTATCAATCCAATTTGATTCCGGTGTAAACATCACAAAAGGTTTTTAGTTTCGAAAAATAATGACATAATTATAGTATTTTTGACCGAAGACGAAACATTATTAAAGGAAACATGTTAGCACAGTTAGTAGTGACATTATTAGCTCCCGCGTCTGTAGGGAGAGAGACTTGGGTAGTAAGTAAATAAGTTTATCGTACCGTGAGACGTGAGACGAGAGTTGATGCGTGCGGTGATGTTGCGGGCCACTTCTGTAGCATCGTGGGACCGCTGCTGGTACAGCCGCAGTCGCTCGAAGAGGCACTCCGCGGAGCTGTCGTCCGCCATGCGGTACACTGCACAGATAACATTCAATGCAATCAATACACGGCACGAAGTAGCCGGGCTGAACCCGGGTTAGTGACCCAGATTACGTAGATAAGGCACCTTTCTCTAAGTTAAGCCTGCAATAGACGCTCAGAAGGTGTATAGCTTTAAACTTGATAGCTAAAACCACATAACAATAGAGAATCTGACATAATAAATGGGTAGTTAAAGAAATTACATTTGTTAGTTTTCTAACTACCCACATTTTGTGTATATAATGTTTTAGTTCTCTTTGTATGTACTAGTATATAACTGTGATACAAATTTTACATAGTCACACATCGCTTTGTAAATAAATCTATCGTTTCTACAGTAACAAGTAATTTAATTTAATTACATAGTGTGGCAATTAATATCAATCAATTGCAGCGAATGGATGTTATTTAGAATAGTTTTATTACTTTTTTTTCTGTATTTTACATAGTAAATTACACTTTTAATGTAATTTAAAATGTTTAATTTTTAAATCATTCAACTATTACTATCAAATTTATTTGATTGTTAGACATTTTTATTGAAGATAATAAGAACGACAGTCTCTATTAGTTTTTCTTTACAGTTAGTATAGGTTCTATACAAAAATGTCACAGTAATGCATAACATAACATTCAGTTAAGTAATTAAACACGTATTTTAAATGTCAATTGTTCCGTGTAACATTTACAAATCAAGCCAATTAATTATAGCGTTATTGAATAATAACAGGAACATAAAATCTATTAAAAAGCGGTGTAGTGTTAACGAGGTACATATTTTTAATCTTTTTTTTCAATATGTCCACACCGGACAGTTTTATTTGTACTATTGTCATCGATTCATTGTCATTTATTATGTTTTAAACATTTTAAATAAAGTTATAAGCATATGATTATAGTATAAAATACATTGTAGCATTTTGATGCTTTTTTATTGCGAAAAGAGATTGCTTATAAATTCAAATTACTTGGTGCGCTAATTAACACTACAATGTGTGAAACTAGATAGCAAAGCTATGATTTAATACAATTACAGTACAGATTTAGTTTATGAATGTAGGTTAAACATGGATAACACGATGAATGGAAGACTAGCGGGTTACAAATTACGACGTGGGACGTACGTGCGTGTGTTGCTTAGTATAGTCCTTTGCTGGTGTTTGAATGTGAGGCGGTTGGTTTGTAAATAAACAGTGTATGGTGTACGATGCGCGACTGCAGTGACAGGCGAGAACAGCGCCCCGCGGCGGTCGCCGCCCGACTAAAACTGAAGGAAAAATCGGTGCGCGACGCCTCACTCGCTCCCCGTGCCAAATAATCGCTTTTCACGCGCGTAAACAAATATATGCAGCGATGCTCTAATGCTAGAGACTAATGTTGCTTAACTGCATATTATCGACTAAATATCTCAAAAAAAAAATGTACTGATTACAATTTTTGTGTATAAAATTCCAAATTAATTGGAATTAAAAATTGGAATAAAAAATACGTAAAACATATGAGGCTTAAACGTTAAAATAAAAATGTTAATAGGCCATAGTTACCTGAAATTATATAGCTATAATATTAAAAAAGATGTTGAAACGTCGTCCTAAGTGTATCATGTGGGACTCGAATAAAAATCGATGCAATTTTCACGAGCTACCAACAAAGTTTACATCTTTACACGTCTACTGCTGAGTCACTTAAACGTTTGTTGTTTTTCGGGTGAAATCTATTTAATCTAGAGGTGACTTTGAACCCACTTTGGACTTATGAATAAAACTATAGCTATTGTGTTCAATTTATCCTTAGTATTAATCGTGCCTGTATTTTATTTGTTTAAGTAAACTTAAATAAATATTACGGATTTGCAGGTAACAAAGGTATAAAATCTAAAAATAAGTACATTTATTTGTGTTGCCATTTATAAACATTTACGATCTTACATTTTGCGGGGAAAAACTTATTACTCTGAGATAGCCATACGGACAAAGGCTTTGTTCTGTTTTACAAAAATAAATTACGTGAAACAAATCTGGTTTCAAGTGTAAATAAAATTGATCTTTATAAAGATGAAAAGATACCAGAACAATATAAAACAATAACAAACATAGTATACGTCGGTAAAATGTTACAATAATGTTGTCAGTATATAGCTTGATTACTTACTTCTTCTTTTCGTTTTCTTGGCTGCGTAATTGCTTACTATTGTATCGGTTTCTGTATCCACTTCCTGCAACAATACATCAATTATATAATTACGTAGGTTTTGTAATATTAAAGCATACATTATTCAAACCAAAAGTCTAAAGTTTGTAAACGAAGAAGGGTTCGTTTATTTTGTAAATTTATCATAATTACAGCCAATTTTTTTTTATCAATCATCCGTAACGATGGAGAGGAGGACCTCTCCAAATTTGGCAATTAAAATTCAATATATTTCAGTTACCATAAAATTGTAAACATTACCATTTGCATAAATACTACAAGTCAGGATTGTTTATTGTTGAGAGCTTCACATCATAAGTCAGACTAAATTAGTTACAACCAAAACATGCTTGATGGATCTTAAAAGCAGCACCGGCCTATCCATATGGGGACTATACTCACATAGCACTATTTCAAAGAAAAAAAATCCATAAGCGTATTTTATGAGGTTAAAAATGTGCCAAACAAAAGATTGTCGTCTCTGCCAATCTATGACTCATACAACTTTATTTATGCATGTAATTACGAAGGTAATATGGTCAATTCAAGTAACAGATTCGCTGTAAATGACATTACGAGTATCGGGAGTGCTTAAACTATTTTAAAGTATATTGAATTCAAACAAACCTGACATTTTTCACTCATGACACTTATGTTAATTCTATTGTAGAAATTCGTTAAGTAAACAAATGTATATCATTGCCGACAACAACTATCTTTTAATTTAACTAATATATAACCTTTAAATTAAATGTCAGATCGAAAAATTGACATTTGAAATGTGTCACAAATAATGCAGATGGCCTGTATTTTCGTGTCGTAACGCTCTCGTAATAACCTGCACAGAAGTTATGGCTCCCAAATCGACTACATTCGAGTTTTATTCGGTCATAAATTATTTTTATATTTTCATTAGATCCGTGTCGGTAATTAATATATTTTATATGAACTTGAACTTCAAAATGCAGGCCTATTTATTGTAAATTATACGTGTGCTGTGCCTGGCGTCCGCAATTCTCACAAAACAAATAAAAATATCTGACTTTGTGGTTTCCTTTCCAAAAAACCGATTAGAGTTTGGATTGATCTTACATTTCATTAATATGTTTGAATTGATAAATCTAAGGATAGTAAAGCATCAATAAGAATAAAACGGGTACAAATAATTTACTGTTTACTATTAATAGCAGAGAACTGGTAGTAAAAAGAAATAAAAACGACGACTGAAGGACGAATACTAATTTAAAATTCTCGAACGGATATAGTTAAAAAAAAGTAATACTAACAGGGACGGAATGTACACGCCTTTAATTAAATTACATTGTGATAAAAAAATAATCACTCGTCCAAGCCAAGGCTGTTAAAATCTCATTGCATATAGAATATTGGCTGACATTTAATAGCAGCCATCGACCAGCTCCCTAGCTTGGAGCACTTGACATTTTACTGAGACGTAGTCAGACGAGTTTCGTTAACAATTACGACTTACAACCACCAGTAATAACTATTAAGGAAACCAATACGGCAGTTGATCCATTAGGAGCGTATTTAATACACCAAGACAGTATTACATAAATAATTCGACTAATCTTTTTGCCCTTGTTAGAGTTCATTCGCTTGTCACATGTTGTTTACGTGTTAATTCAAGTTTTGTTAAGATTCGCATAGAATTTGGAATAAAAGTTCGTTGTTCGAATTCATGTGATGCGTTTGCAAGCAACTTAAGATTTGACAATGTCGCACAGCATTTTATTGTGTGGTCTTAATATCTACTAATTCTTAACTGAAGCAATCTCATTGAAACAGACAATTCATGTTGACCATCGGCATATGTGGTCCATTACGCCCCGAACAGATGTTTATAAATGTAATGATCAATAACGCTGAGAGTTAATATACAATAGTCTTGCGGTGTAATTCCACTGACGAAATACTTGGATTAAAATGTATCGTTATCCTTGTTTTTTTTAAGAGTATGAGAGAGAGGAAAATACTTGGTGTACAGTAAATTGACAGTAGAAATCCACACTTATCTACATACAAACTTTAGAAGAGATGGCGACAGTTAACATTGTAACTGATATTTTCATTTCTTGTGGACGTACTTAATAATGTATAAGAAAAAAACGTTGTTCGCTCTAAGCATGGTTGTTTGTCAATGGACTTTCGTAAGCACGAATTCAGTCTTCACATTCGGTACTGAAGCGGTGAGTAACAACAAATAAAACATTTCGTTTCACATTTATTCACATATTCGCAATGTTATATGACAAAGGCAATTGTATCTGACCTCCTAAATATTAGATTTTACGTAAACTAAGTAATAGTTTCACAAATATTTCGTCTTCTTACATCTGACCTTAGAAGTTTAAACAAAATAACAATACTATAATAAAAAATAATAATTTAATGAGCACATTTAAATTAAGTAACAAGAGAAACGTGTTTGACTTGAACGATAAAATAACCTATTTTTTTCAGCCACCTGAAGAAGTTGGACGGAAAGACCATAGAAACACTTTGCTGGATTTCTTAGACCCAAGAGGAATTTTAATTTCTCCAGGGGATGCAAAGCTTCGATCTAAGAGACGTGACATAAGTAATAAATAATTTTACTTAGTAATAAACTTAAATCAAATGTTTGAAAATTCTCACTCTCAGAACGGTAATGTGTTTTGGTGTTTGTATATATGTAATCGTTAAATAATATAATGCTTTCCAGCGTACTTCACGCCTATATCTTCCGTGAAGCACACAGACGCTCTTCGCCTGCTGTTCAAGACATACCTCGCTATGCTCCTGGCTACGCTTAGACAGGGCAAGCCACCTCTGTCGCCGCCATTTCCGAAGGTCATAGCCAAAACTATTAAAGCTGTGTTATTAAATTAATATAATAATAAAATGTAATGTTATGTTAATTAACAAGGTTTCCTTCAAATGTGCGTTCTCAACCGATGATACGGCTAGGTCTATGGGGGAAGCTACCATTGATATAATCTTTGAAGAAGTTTAATATCTATTATACATTTTTTTAGTCTCTTGTGGTAGCTGCCACCCCTTCTTTACTGGATACAACCATGTCCCTGCATCCCTGTAATGTCTCCCGCGTTACACGACCTAGCACATAGCGCCAGGCGTCATGCTACTGTACTCACCGTTAAGAAAGACCCCCACGGGTCTGAAACTAGTCGATGTTATACGAATTATACTGGAGTGTTAGCCGTTGTTAATTAGATTATAATGAAATGTTATATTATCATTTGTTACAAAATAAAAATCGTTATTCTTTCTGTGAACCCGTGTTTTTCATTTTTTATGACTCAATTAAAATTCTAAGAAAATGCACCAACAAAAATTCGTCTGATAATTTATAACCACATTGGTACGCTATACGTATAGACTTGTCTAGAATAATTAAAAGAAATACTCTACTAAATACTTTAAACTATAAAAAACAAGAATATTGGGGTATAGTGATCTTCTTTGTTAAAAGGAATTAAACATATTCAATTAACAAAACTCGTTAATTTGCTCTTAAAAGTTATTTAACAGCAATGAGTGAGATGATTTTTTTCGATAGAATAAACATTTTTAATAATTATAGAACATCAACGGTCTGTCCTCGGCGGTATTTCCAAACCAATACGACTTAGGGTCCTTCAAGAAGCGAGCCTACAATTTCCTCAAAGGCCGGCAACGCATCTGTAGTTCCTCTCTCTTCTCTCTCTTCTCTCTCTCTCTTATAAAAAAAAAAAAAACATATATCAAAATTTCATACATATCTCTGTCTATTAAAAGAAATTTCTAGGGAGTTTTAATGTTTTAAACACAAGTTACAACAATCGAAACTCGCTTAGAATACAAAACATACCAATTTAAGATAGATCAACTGATAAGGAATTTAGTAATAGTCTAAATACCGATAGATTAGGACATCTGTTTGTGCTGCGATTTTTTTAAACACTAAGGTGTTCGTTATGCAATGAATGTAAGAAATAAACTGCCTTATTGAATACAAATTCGAGAGACGCATCTAGTTCCTTTCTTTCTTGGTTTGTGGGCGGGGTGACATAGAGTATATAAGAGAAGCGAAAGAATAATATTAAGTACAGTGATCTTGTTACTGAGGCGCCTCCGTCATGAAGGTACGCCTCACGAGTGATTAAAAATGGATCCTTACAAACGTGAAGTGTTATTTTATAGAATCTTCTGAATAGTGTAGTGCATATCTTTAACCTTTCATTCTTTATTCGTAGTCGAATGGACTACATCTTTCGTTTGTGGTTGTGTCCAATTTTTTGTTTTATTAAAATAAACAATCTATATTAACCAAAAATTTACAAAAAATTATCGATAACCTTGAAATATTATATTATGATTGTTTCGATATGAGAGTTAAGAATAAAAGGCGATAAAATAATTACTGTTTTTTTAACTAAAGTATACAAGAACAATACCAGAAAATTGAACCAAATTTGAAAAGCATTATTTTTTAATAAATTCAATAAAACCATGTAAAATTCTTGAATATTAATCCCATTTAGTTTATTATTCGTTTAACATTATCCCAAAAGCCAAATCGATTAGACAGATAATTGTAGGTTCGTACACTATTTAAGTGCTGTTAAGAATTATTTGTCAAGGATTGTGGATGACCTAATTTCATAGTCACATCCTGTTTTCTATTAAAGTGTTCGGAAAATAAACATCTTTTTGTTTTGACCCAAAGTGATGGTGAATTGTTTGTGTTGTTTCGTTACAATTGATTTTGTGTCCAGGCGTTGGCTGTATTGGTATTGTGCGCGGTGGCGGAGCATGCTGCAGGAGGCGCGGTGGCGTGGCCGGGCGCTGCGGTGGCGTTGACAACTCCCCTGGTCAACGCCGTGGTGCAGCCTCACACTAAGGGCTTCGCTTACTCTACTACACAGTATATTAATGCAGTAAGTAAAGGATCACTAATTGAAAAAATACGGTTTTAAACGGTTTCTAGATGTGCCTTTAAATAACTAAACATGATCCTTTGTATTTTGGAAATTTTAATTTAAAATCTGACTACAAGATAATTTATTGAAAATAAAACTCTCGTTCCTTGCAGTTACCGGCATCATATACGTACGGAGTACGACCACAATTCCCCTATCAAGTTCCCGTAACGGCTTACGCCCCTTTGCCAGGATTTCCGGCGTACTATCCGGTGGGGACTGCTTCGTATATTCCACAAAGTAGTCTGATTTATCCTCAAATACCACCTATTGCAACGGGACAACCACAAGGACCAATTTCTAGCGCTCCAACAGCTCCCATTGCGCCAATTGCACCAATTGCGCCTATTGCTCCGAGTATACCGCAGCAGCCAATTGTTCCACAACAGCCAAGTGTACCCCAACAACCCAGTGTTCCACAACAGCCGAACAACCCGCCATCTCCTCCGGAACAAACGGCAGGTGATGCGGATACGACAGTAGTAGAGTCAGCGGAATTCATCAATCAACAACAGGACCAACGAACATCTAGCCCCGATGGTCAACCACAGTCATCGCCTACAAACAATGTTTCAGATCAACAACCCCAACCCCAAGTCCCATCGTATTTGCAAAACCCACAAATTTCCCAGTTCGCGTCCTTCCCTCAAATTCCTCAGTTACCCCAAGGCTTCCCGCAATTCCCGCAATTACCGCAGTTCCCGCAACTTCCATCATTACCTCAGTTCCCAGGCGCGCAAGAAGGTATATCATTCCCACCGTTCACTCAACAACCATCGGTCCCACAAACATCGACTCAAGATGACTCGTCTTCTCAAGAATCTCCACAGCAATCAACCCAAGCGGAACCCCCTTCCACATCAGGAGATTCATCATCTCCACAATTCCCGCAACTGCCTTCTTTACCACAATTCCCTCCCTCTCAAGGTGACTTACCACAATTACCACAGCTACCGTCTCTTCCCCAATTTCCTCCCTCACAAGGAGGTATACCACAGTTCCCACAGTTTCCTCCTTCACAAGGGGGATTGCCCCAATTTCCGCAACTACCAAATTTCCCTCAATTCCCACCAAGCCAAGGAGGTTCCTTCCCTACTAATTTCCCCTCTGCCGATAACTCCAACAAAGGTATAAACGACGAAGACACTATTTCAGTTGAATCTGCCAAATAAATTCTTGCAAACAACATTTAATTTGATAGAATTTAAGAGTGAAAATATTATTAAGTATTTAACCATTAACAAAAACGTGAAGACTTAAGTACTATGCTAAAACATTCATAGTTTTTTTCCAAAAGCGGTAAGGTGTATTTACTTGATACATTGTTATTAAAAGTAGAAACAATTGTTTAAAGACTAAACAGAGGTAGTCTCTGTAGCACTAAGATAAGATAACTTTGCCTTGGAAATATTAAAACATTTAATTTAAATACACGTCTCTTTATTTGACCATGTACACCTATCCTATTCGTTCAAAGTTAAATCTGTCTATTGCTATTGGAAAACACAAATAAATAAGTTCTCATTTGGCGCCGTCTGACGAGAGTCGTCGCCCCTACTACACTTAAGACTGACTCATAATGCTATTGACCTTTCTTAGTAGTAACGTATTGAAATTAAATAAAAATAACTGATTACTGGAAAAAAGGATATAATTTCCCTACATCTAAGAGTGCAATGTTAACACATATGTTTGTTTAAAATGTTAGCTGTCATAGAGTGCTGTCAATCGGGCTTAGTTACTGTTTTTTTTTGTTTACTACGAAACAGTATCAAGCTCAACTTAAATGCTGTGAACAAAAAACAGATGCCATTCAAACAAGGATATAAAGACGGATCTATTATTATCCCCACAAGCCTTCGCGATTGCGTTGTGACCACCACTTGTTTAAGTCAGCTGCAGACGAATTCTTGCCATTTAGGCCGAGTGTGAAGAAAAAGCGAGCAGGAAACCAACTTGTATCCAGTTGGACTGATATATTGAAGCCGCCAACACCGTCGATGATTGGTGTTGATTTATGATTCGGTATTAGCAGACGGGCACAGGTAATGGTGCACTCTATACCTGCAGAAATCTGAAACCAGAGGCAATAATTTAATATTTAAAAGTAATAAAATCGAAAAATACCGACAAAGTAATGACACCCCGCTTTAAAAAACCGCTCAAAAGTTTAGGTTATTTTACTTACCCTTATGAAAACTGTAACCTTGGCTTGAGGTCTTGCTTTCACAGAAAACTTCTCAACATAGAAGAAGGAAGTTTTTCTTTGCCGCTTGGGGCTCATGTAACAATAATTTCCAGACACGAACGTGCGCCCTCTCCACCCGAACTTTTGTGATTTCGCCCTTCTTAAAAACCCTGAGCGTATCCCTATACCTACGGAGAAAGATTACATACTATTATGACCATTTCTTATAATTGTTCTCTATATTAAAAAAAAATGTGGGCACATACTTGAACCTCCTTCGGTAAGCATTAACTTTCCAGGGAAAGCGTGTGGTACAACACTAGCTGAGATAACATTCATAATCCAGGTGATGTACGGGAAGACGTCTATGAATAGGGGCGGGTCATCGTTCAAACGATTCCTCATGGTATGGAGCCGACAGGGCTGACTGCCCGCCGACAGCCCTATCAGTTGAAAGGGTCCGTCCACATCTTGGCTAATAATAGGTGCACCGGGACGAATACCACACCCTGTTGTACAAAGCTCATGAGAGACACCTCCTCCTAACTGTAAATAAGACATCGTGTTGTTTTCGGAAATACAAATTTAAAAAAAGTTCACTGTTTTTTGTCATATCTCAAAAGATTAACGGTTTTCAGTCAGCTTTAGTTTATTTTGGTTAATGTTAATTACCTAGTTTTCTTAAAACTTACGCTACTACTACGATGCCTGATGCAATCCTTGTGAGGAAACACCTTTAAAGTCTTTTTAGCCATTCGTTCTCCGTCTAAATCGATTGGTACGGCTGGAATAAAAGCAATAATTAAAAATGTCAAATATAGTTACATATCTAACTATCAAATAGTATACACTATTTTTTTAATAAATTGCATCTTACGGTTTAGATAGTCGATCAGAAAAACAGCCTTGTTTCTTCGTTTCACTTTTCGCTCCACTAATGTTGGTAAGCAAATCGGAAGAACGTAAACTGGAATTTATACGACAGCATTAATGATAAAATAAAATAAACAATTAAGAAGAAAATAAATGTTTACCTACAAGATTTTATTGGACGTACTAATTTGACAACCGCTACGCTATTGGCGATACCAAATCTGAAAAATATAGACAGAGAAATTATCAGACCACTGGGTAATATAACTCACTAGGGCACTAGTGTGCCCTCCTAACAATAGCAAAGAAGTGTGTCACAATCACAAAATTCTTTAGTATTACAGCTGTCATCAATTTTTTTAGTACGGAAATTCACCTCGTGTACTCCGGATGTGCTATTACTTCTTGATGAGGCATCACGAAGTAAGCGCGTGAGCATTTCTGGTTCATCTTAAGCTGGTCGCGAGTCAGCCCGCATTCCTCCTCGTCACGCTCATAATCTCCGAATATCACGTGACCTCTGGAATTGAAGTATTATTTTTATATTAACGTATCCGACGGTAACCATAACTATTTCAGGGATTTAAAGTAGCAGTAGACGATACATTACATCTATGCCTAATTGTATCGAGATCCGTTCAGCCGTTTAGGAGGTACCTTCTAAAAAACATCAAACTATGTAAACTTTCGCATTTATTAACTTTAATCTATATAAGCACGCAAGAAACCAATTAAGAATTAAATTGAATAAAAAAGAAAACTACTAAATCTTACGAAGCTAGATGTTGAACAACAATGACAAAATAAATCTGAGAAAACCTCACAGCTTGTAATTCTTGGGCAGCTTGAGTAGATCTTTTGCTGTACCGAGCACGAACTGCCTGTGTACAAGTACCACTCGCGGCGCCACCGACTGATGCGGCAGTGATGTCGTCACTATCGTCATATTAAACAAAATTTACTTTTAAAAATGTTATATAGAGAATAGAAATCTGTCTATTTGGTCAATATTAATACAGTGCGATAAATCCGGCAACTAAACAAACGCCATAAAATGTAGACAAAGCTATGAGCTAGCGGGCATCTATTTTTCGGCCGCGACTTCACTTACATAGCTTAGGTGGAATCGTGGTCAGGCGCTTGTTTATTTATGTTAAAAAAGCACAGATTTAAGTGAATTATGGCCAGGGAAATGATCTCATGTATCAAATAACGACTACATCTGCGATCTTAAGTCTGACTGCACACCATGCTAGTCATTTTAGACCTTAACTGATCTTTATATATTTTAACGGGAGCTGAGTGGGGTTTATACCATGTATGTAGTAAACAGCGGCCAGCCATGTGAAGGTGTGTGGCTCCAGGACGCCGTCGACGGGCTTCAACTCGAAGTCATCGTGGCAGGTTGCGAAGTCTCGCAACTTGCTTACCACTACTTTTATGCAGACTGAAATTTCATTTGTAAATACTTAATACTAACTTTGATAGTTGATATAGCTAACTATGGAATTCGACTATGATAACACATTAAAAGTTATTTTTGTCTATTTTTCTTAAAAGGGAATCGGAGGGATAATAAAGGTCGATACTGACTTTTACGGAGTGTAATGTAAAATGTTACACGGCGAACATTTATGCCATAAATACGCAATGTTTCGGAGAAACCAGCAAGCAACGAGCCGATTGATGCAAATGTTACAAGTCACAGTAACAACAACGTAGGTCAGTACCCACTTTTATACAATTATTTCGATAGTGAAAACTTACCTAACATAATGTAGGTTTGAAAAAAGCAAGTAACAATAAATTACTTACTTTTATAAGAAACTTATTTTGTAAAACTCTACTTTTGCTATTCCGAACTTAAAGTAAATAAAAAATTTTAAACTGCTATAAGTTCTGGTGATGTGTTCAAGAATGCGGTATTTTAAATGCATCTAATTTACGTACATGTAATAAATATAGATTTGTAAACGTCCATTACGTGCGCTGTCTCTGCCAAACTATTCTCTACTAACATGTTTGTAAACTGCATTTTCCTGCGGATGATTATAAAATATGCTGCTAACGGAATGTACACAAATCTTCAATCAATAATTATGTCCAAATTATGTGAATTAGTAAACAGCTCACAAGTATTGTGAAGAACGTGTCAATCAGTCATATTTGAGGCATATATTTTTAACAAGCAAATATTACTTGTTTCTCTGCGTCAATACTGCTTACTAGTTTATTGTCTTTGAGAATTTGTAAACATTTTGTGAGTAGTGAAGTTTTATAAACGAGTTGCTTTAGAATGACGTCTCCACAAACGTTACTCTATCATGAGATTTCGCTGGATTATTCTTCTTTGCACAACAGTTGGTGAGTAAAAAAGTATTTTATCTATCCTCAAAGTTATGTGTTACTTATTTCATTATAGAATCTTAATCTAAGTGTTCATTTTTAGAATAACGCGGACTCTGGCGTATCAAAGAGATTAAATAATTTAAATCATTAACAGTAAAGATAAATATTCCAATTATTCGTATGTTCAGATTTGAATATCTAAGTATCTAAGAATATTTTAGAATTTCATTTGAGAACTATTCTTCTTACTTCCTGATCCTCTAAGCCTTTAAATTATATTTTGTGTGTTTAAATATTTGTTAAATGACTCTTTGAACAATAATTGATACAGATTTCAAATATTTTAGTTGGCATAGTGTGGTGTTGGGATGTTCTCGCAGATATGGGCTCCAGACGTTTTGGAAAGGACGGACACGGTTAGTTCCGCACAAATGTTTTTGTTTCATACATTTTATATCAAAACCGCACACAATTGTGTAGCAACAATTTGAAGAAACTTCAGGATACATCTTATTTTTTTATAGTTACATAGAACGATTTTTTTTGTTTTGAATCGAAATATTCATATGCTACCAGTGAGACTAAAGACTTTCTTATAAAAAAAGTGGCATCTACTTATGTGAAAACGAATGATTTGTGTTTCAGTTTTCAAAAATGAATATGTTTTCGGAGATTGCAAGAATCCTAAAAAGATTTATTACGAAAAACATCACAAAACAGTTCAAGAAGTACAGCGTGCATCTGTTATAAGGGTGTGTATTTCTATAGTTTGGTTTAATTCTAATGAAATTGACGTTGGAGCCAAATTCAATCCTTACTTCCTAATAGCAGAAAGTTATGTAACTTGATTTGTAATTGGTTCCTTTTTCTATCTGTTGATTTTCAGATGTTTTCTTTCCCCATTTGCATATAAGGATAATTTAACTTTATTTACCGTTTATATGTCTTTTCAGGATTGGCTCTTTGATACATGGAGAATCCCAACATGCATTATTTTAAGGGCCTCATCATACGAAAGCAACGCGTTTCGTCTCACGTATTACAATTTTGAAATCTGCGTACCCCGAGTAACTTTCTGTTACGATAAAAAAAGATGGAATTACTATTATTATGAATGGTACATCCCTAAAGGTATTACCTACGGCTCAGATTGGGATATTTATTTCTACGGCCCAAACAAAAGTGATTGGACACTACAGTGGGGATAGTACAAAAATGTTGAAATTCGTATCGTTATCGAGTTCACGATACGATAATAGGGTAGCATTAAGTTAAGCACGAAGTTCATACTATACAGAGTCAGCGCCATCTGGTACGAAATGTGCGCTTTTTACTTCTATCTGTAATATCTGTAAGCCAGAAGATAATGACAAAATTCACCACACAATATTTCAGTCATTCCTTTCTCGTTATTCATTCAACTTGATATGATCAAAATTTCAGTCACTGTTTTAAATACACTTATTTGTATCTCCAAGGTTAAAGGGATCTCGATGAAACATTTGACACAGATCAAGAACATAGTCTGAAAAAAAAATCTACTTACTATTTTTTAAATCCACGCGGTCGAAATTGCGAGCAAAAGCCATTAAAGACAAATAAAAGAAGCAATAACTTATGTATATTCAAAGATAGTTTTTGTTAATATTTTTTATCGTAATAAAGTATTTTACCAATTCTGAGTGTTTACATAAACCCATTTAAAAATTACATACTAGGTAAGTAATTTATATACAGTATACAATGTTATTAATGCTTGAAATCAGATATTTTGTAAGTAGTAAAAATTAAAAAAATGGTTAAATAATACAAACGTATGAAAAAAAATCGAGGAACTTTTAATACGAATAATCTTATGAACTATTGAAAAACCGTTGTCCTATATAAGAAAAGAAAAGTTAAAACAAAAATACAAAAATTACAGTGAGAAAATTAGATTACATGATCACCGAGTTTGTATGAATTAGAAAATAATGACTAACTTAGTTATCGTTTACTATAATTTGTTTTAACGTATTACTCTGGTTTATCAGGCTTGAGTCCGCCCTGAGGAAGAGGAGGAGGCGGGACGTTAGCGATTTCGGGATCTTTAGGGGAGTAGTTGAGAACGTTAAGGTCACTGGGTTCCGGAGGTGGGCTAGGAGTAGATGGATTGGAGCCAACTGAATTAGGTATCTGCTCTCGGCCAGATGGCGATGCCTCATACTGACCTAGAACATTCGTCAATGGATGGTACAGGGGAGGTAAACCAGCATACGGATTAAAGCCAAAGGGATCAAAGGGGTCATAGAATCGGAATGCAGGATAACTGTAGGTAAAGTGTCGGATATTAGGGATGGTATTGTACGTATGACTAATGGGCAGAACTTGGGGTGGTAATCCAAATTGGTTCAGCGGTATTGGGGACTCTGTACTGGGAGGAGGTGGGGGTGACTGAGCAGCCTGGTCTGCAGAATTTGGTAAGGATGTACTCGACTCGGAAGGCGCCGCTTGTTCGGAATTGGAGGGGATTTCAGTTGGAGGGGCTACAGAAGATGCAGATGACTCGGGCTGTTCTGTGCTGGACGGAGATCCGGCTGCCTCTGGTGCTTTAGAGGATGGTCCTGGTGCCGGTTCTGGAATAGCATTAGGCCCTCTTGGCAGGAATGCTGGCGCAGGAATTAAGCCCTGAAATACCGCAAAAGAAAGTTGTTACAATAGGTGCCAAATTTAAACAAACCATGTGAAGGAGGAATTTAATTTTATGACAGAAAGTAATAGCCAATGACAGTGGTTATAGAATACGATAAATGTTTCAATAACCATTAAAGCCGTGCATTATTTTGCAACGAGAAAATATGGTATAAAAAACTTACATTGCCTAGTGGTAATTCATGCCCATAGAAGAAAGGTGACTGCAGCGGGAAGGTGAAAGCTGCGTCGTGTATCACTGGCTGGTACACCGGGAACGCCTTGCTCGGCTCCAGGTTTTGGTTGGAGGTGATGAGGGCATTGTACACTTTCGGGATCCGACCTGGCGACGGATCCGATGTGACAATGCCTACACACAGCAACTGGAAGAAGTATACGTTGTGTAAGTAATTTGGATTGTTATTTATGATTGGCTGTTCAAATATATTTATAAAAATACTTATATTTGTAACCAATAACTGAAGAAATGGAGGAGAAAGGATAACAATAGGTGACATTTTGAAATTAACATACTTATACTGAACGGAATTGATAATCTTTAAGTAAGTGAAGTACGAACTATTGAGATTTATTAAAACAAACAAATATAATCAACATAATAATACTCTTGATCTTTTCCTACTATAGTTTACTTGTATTGTGAATCAATAATTTTCTCGGCTCAGTTACAGAACCAGTTATATGAATTGCATTATAGTCTGCTGTAACCAGACCAATTACAATTTACCTTGACTGTACAGGTACATGAGTGACACATATTGAAAAAATGATCAAGTGATATTCGACGAACACAAACTAAGATTGAATATTTTTCTTTGTCTTTGTAGTTTATTTATTGTTATTTTTTCCCTTATAATACTTAGATGGGAAAATAAGAAAGTCCAAATCATTCAACTGAGCTTTATTGAAAGACATTTTTAAATAAACAGTTTTTTTTCGAACATTCAAATCTTCCATTATAAAGTAAAACACAATTATAATTAACACGTTTACTGCGGCAAGTAAAATCACAATTCTTCCCCTGGAGCGGCGGCAGGCCGAAATGCGCCCCCAATGATATTTCCGCCAGTGCGTGGCAGGTCTTTATAGACCCACCAGCACTAGGATAGATTAAATTGCTTTAAATTTTTGGAAACATAATGTATACATTTTTTTAATTACAAATTACATTTATTAAAATACACAAGAATACCATAAAACATACTCCTATGTACAAACAGACAAGAAGTCTTTGTATTAAACGTAATAAGTCTGCACAAATACGTTAATCATAGTTCATGATATAAACAGATATAACAATGGTATATAAATTTCATTTAAAGAATGAATAACAAGAAATTAAGTTTTTCTTACATTGTTGCATTATTCTTAATGAATACTCTGTCATAGGTGCAAGGGTTTTTATTGGCATATTTTGATGTAATAATCTAAGTAAAAGAGGTGGTAGAATGAAAAGTAAAGCGATTTCCGATTTAGACAAAAATTCCGAGATCGGTTTCGTGTAAAGTTTAGTTTTTTTTCGGTTAAAAATAAATGGAAATTATTTGTTCATTTTAATGCATATATTATTTTAATAAAGGTATGAATACTGTAATATCATGAATATTTATAGTGATGATATTTTCATGAAACTATGCGTAATTACAGAGAGGCCAGTTAGATTAGTCGAAACATTAACCTAGTTGCTTTCACCACGTATGATACAACATTGATAGAAAGGAAGACAAAAACATTAAATTTAAGGCCGCATGTAATAACAGATAATTAGCACATAAAGGATATTAGCCGCAGAGAAAATGCAACGATAAAAAACATCTATGCATTTACATAAAGGTCGATGTTACAAGGAATATATCAAACTATTATTGCAGCACTTAGCTAGTAGTAGTGTTTTTAATATTTGTAAGCCATAAGTCATTTACTTTAGTCTTGTCATCATCATCATACTACTACTTATCGTACTGCCGTACGGTCGGAGCAGCAGGTTTTTGTCCACCACTAACTCTATCACACGTCATCTCAGTCACTCCCTTTTGATCATGTCTTTATCATGTTATTTACTTTAGTCTTGTAATTTAGTGTTTTTTTAATGCTGGGTTGCTGAAGTTTCCATTTATTTTATCATCACCTAGTCAACCTAAGATTGAACGGAGTAAAACTCAAGTTATGTAGTTCGGAAACGCACTTCTTGAAGTTATCGAACGAAAAACTAAGGTATGGTTAAATGTAGATGGGAAACCGTAAATGATAGTGTAAACGATGGCAGAATTAATAATTATATGTTAAGCTCATTTGTTAATAGAATTACTTAACAAAAGTTAAGTTACTTAAAGTAAAATCTTACCCATAAATAAAGAGCGCTTAATCTCGATTACTGGACTTATTATATTAAAAGATACTTAATTTAAGAATAAGTAAGAGATCTTAACTACAATATAGATTACAATTGTTCAATACAGATTACTGAGAATAGTAAGATAGTATTTTTTATTTACGGGTGAATCAGCGGCTGTGGTTAATCAACGAAGCCTTGACATTTAGATATGTCATGCGGAATTGGCTCGAGTTATACAACAGGGAGGGAAAGTAGCAACAGTAATTACATACTAATATGGAGTCTTAATTAACTTAAGTGGATTGGTACTAAAAGTTAAAACCATAAAATACTAACAAACTAATTGTCATAATTACAATCTTTTTTATAATTATTTACACCTATTAGTGGGCTCAATATATGATATCGATAAAAAAGTAATTAGACGGATATTAAATTAAAAAATTCAATTTGGAGAAAGCCCGAATTTAAAATACAGTGATATTTTAAGAAATGGTTTTACAGTTACAATAATAAAATAGTATCTACCTCGTTCCGCTAGATGTCCTTGTGATATACTAAAACAATACAAATTCTCACACATTTTAGATAAACGCATGGCCGAAGGAAGGGGCCAGGTCATTGCCGACTTGTTGTAACACTTTGCCTAATCGTAATACATTATGCCACTCCAGACTGTAATCCACGAGCACTTGATGCGATAAGCTTGCACCAGACAAATTACGTTCAAACAAAGGGTCAATTTGCTAGCAATTTGAACGTCGAGACTGCATTGTGATTTGAGAAATCTTACCAAATGCATACTAGATGAATTAACACTAATCGATGAAAACAAATGTATTTGAAAGTACAGATATTAAATACTAAGCAAAGAATCTTTTTTTTTTACAAATGCTCAATTGATGCCATAGCAATGTAATATAACAAAGCGTATACACACACTACTTAGTGACGTTATTTTTGAATAATTCTTTCTTTAATAAAAAGTCCTATATGTACGATACGCTTTAGGCTATGAATTTTCGCGTTTTTAAACTTGACGTAAACAAATTGGAAAAAACCTGCATGTTGGAAAGGGACCATAAACAACAACATTTAGGAAGCAAGGTTATTATGGTAACGGTAATTTGTTATTCTTGCTACGCAACATTTGCAATTGAGAATTTGAAAAATGTAAAAAATATATTTTTTTATTATTTCATGCGGATGAAGCCGTACGGGAACAGGTAGTCACAAATAAAGGACATTCTCACGATGTCAAAAATAATACCAACAATGAAGTGCTTATTAAGTGCCGTATTTTTTATAAAGTCTATATAATAAAGTACGCTTTTCTGAAATATATGCAAAGTAATAGTTAAAATTATAATAATTTATATGAATGTGTTAATTATTACTTATCTAATATTTCGAAATTACAACATCAATTCTAAAAGTTTCGCAGTTACAACTAGGCAGTTAAGTAATTACATACAACTTTAAATAGCACTTAATAACACTTATTTACATTATAATTATATTTACATTAATATTGTAACATGAAAAAGAAGCTTCCTGTAAGAACGTTCTAAAAAGCCTTGTACAAATTCCTTTCAAAATTACACGTAACGATTTTAAATATGCATAGTTTAGACCAAGATGCTTAAATCATCTTTTAATTTCAATGCTCATTTTAATTAATTCATTTAGGAGTCCATACATATAAAATTTGTATCGTAATACGAAACAGATTTAAATTCTCTGCAATAATCCAATAATCTCTTAAGAAGATATACCTACTTGACGCCCCAGAAAAGTGTTTCAATAAGTTAGGAAATTCAAAGGAGTCAAATCTGGATTGATGAAGATTTGTGTCTCCGAATTTTCTCTCCCGTCATCATTTTTTGCCTTAGGGATAACAGCTTACTCATTCAGTATTCCCACAAAGTAATTAAACCTGCATTGTTGTTGTAGACCACGCGCGGACGAAGTCGTGGGCAACAGCTAGTTAATACATTTAAACAAGTCAACAACAATTAAGAGATTTAAAATGGCATAATTCTCGAAGCTTTACTACTTGTACTTACACGGTCGCAAAGTAAAAGGTAACCTAACTTGTGTGCACTGGACATAGAAAAGTTTGTATCAAAAGCTATAATTTAGGCTTGAAGGCTAACACAACTGTAACTTGTTACTGCGCCCACACGATTATTTTTAACCTAAATTATTAGACCGACTGTTTTTGTTTCATTGTTTGTACTTTGTACAAAATGATCTTATATCGAGCTTATTACCGAACTGAATTGTAATGTTTTTTTTTTACATTGTAATAAAGTTCATAAACACTGGACATAGGCATTATAGATTTTGTTTCATTACACAAGTTTGTGTCATTTCCTTTTACACATTCATGATACTTGGTTACATTTAGTGTTAATTTTTCTACAACAATATGGCGTCATTCTGGTCGATAACTTCAAGTCGCCACTAGCCACAGATTCGCAGTTTAACTGCCATGACTCTCTTTATTTAACCTTTCAAAGGTTGTGCGCAACTTTTAAGGTAATATTGTTAATTGAACATTATTGATGTCCAATTAAATTTAATGAGGAGACTTGAATGAATGTGTAGCCGGAAATGAGTGACACAAAGGCGAGGCTCGCTCGACAGCTGACAGCCTTGGCCACGCCTGCGATCAAGGTCTAAGAAATGGAACGTGCTACAAACTGGTACCCGTTAAGGTCAACGCCGCAAACAAATGAGGACTGCACTCTAATATTCTAATGTAAGTGCTTTGTTATAATATTAGAAGCTAATGCTTAAGATCATGTTAACGCTTTTTAAACCCAGGTTGCTAGCCGTATTTATATACTTTTTAAAAATGCTTTCAATACCCCGTCATTTGTTTTTTTGAAATGTTTCTTAGATTATAAAAAATTCGGATTAAAAATAAGTGTCCATTTGTTTTCCTTACATCGATTACATGTCAAATATAATTACCATAACTAAAAAGATATTCACAAAAACAGAAATCATCTTACATAACAGTTATAAAAAGCGCAATAAATTCGTCTCACAATCATTGATCAATTCTTACTTAGATACACAGGAATTTGCGAACTTACTGCATACATTGTAATTCTCTTGTATTCGTTTAAAAAATAAGACAAAAGAATGATCAATGGATCAGATAATTTTGCAACGAATGGCGCATCATTGTGCATTCTCAATAAATCAGAGTTCAATGTCCTGTTGCAGTCGAGCCTATAAGCCTCAAGAAATTTCTCACCGCTTTGCCAAGTTCGATACAAGCCGCAGCATGCTAAGAGCTTACTGACGCAGTATAACAAATAGCTACGCTTTCGACGACGAATTAGTCATAACATTTAGAATTTATTGGCGAAAGTTAACAAAGGAATGTTTGTGCATTGATGGAAACTAATGGAATAGTTAACGCTTTAATCTTTCGTATCAAGGAATAGATTTGGTATTTTTTGAAAAAAAACACACTTCGTGTCGGCGTCAATTACGCAGATCCTTTCTTTACCAGCTATAGAATGCAAATTGAACTACGTTTACTCAAACCTATTAATTTCAAATAGTGGTGGGTACATTTTATCTACTTTCAAGTGAGATTATTAGATCAAAAGGCAGCGTCTTTTCGGTTCATTATGCAGGCATGCAAGAAAAAAATATATTCAAACTTCTGACACATTAGGTTATAATTGTATATATTTATGGATAAATCAAACGGCTGCATCTTCGTGTTGGCTCTATTTACGGTCAGAACGAGATCCCATATGATCAATGTAAATTGAATAATTTTAAAACATGTCCATTTAAAATTTAGTGCCGTAATTATTGCAAGTATATTCATGAATTGGTGTCAGATAAACATAGTAAAACGCATCTCTTACGATCTTATAACTTTTTTTATTTTACTTAACGCTTGGATTATATAAATATGAACTATATATTAAGTTACCAGTAACTTTTTTACAATATAAGATGGCAAACAAGAAACCATCTTTTTTCACCAATATGAGGAAGTTACCGCTGCCTTTTGCATTTGCAGATACGTTGCCTACGTTTAAAACACAGAAAATGGGACCCACGTAAAAGATTTGTACAGTACTCCAAATAATTAGGGCGAGAAAAGATCAGATCTATTTTTTTCTTATAATTCTAAGATGGCAATGTTCTTGTAACATTGATACATTGTGTGGTGGAAGTTCATCGGCGTCTCATTGCATGTTCATTGTTCTCAAAGAACATGTCGTGTGCGTTTGTTTGCCCGAGTATGTTCATAGAACAACTTAATTAACGTGTACACACGTCGTTTCTATGCCATATTTGTGGTTGTCACGAAATCTACCATTTAAAGAGATTTTTACTGTTTCGTCGCAGATACTTTGTATACGTGATTTACCAATAGTTAAAATTCAATTTTAATATATGAAGATTTTATTGTTTTTATTTTTTGAGGTTGTTTTTATAATAGAAGAACGATATTTAGCAGTTTCATTAAAAGATAATACAACAACTCGTTGAACTCTTTTGCTCGTTTAAGATCATTTCTATCTTAATATACAAATTCCACTTAGCGAATGATCGCGCGACTCTGGCCCGTTGTTTTCATGCAATCGTGTATTATTTTCGTCGCCAGCGTCCGAAGTCGTGCAAATTTTGGCCAAGTGGAAATGGGCCCTAACAATTCTAGTTGTACTACTGTAAAGTGAACACGAGAACAATGGTCACTGACTTATCACGCTTCATTGATTTACACCGTGAATAATTCTTGTACAAATTCAATATAACACCAAATTAATAATAAACAATGAACGATGAACATAGTATTTAATTAATAAAGTATTGAGACATATAAAATTATGAAATTTTTATACTTTAATCCAAATGCTTTTATACTGAATTTTCGTAAAAATGCAAACATTTTAGATAAAAATAAAGTAAACATACGAAATTTCCAATGAATAAATTAAGCATAATTTGCATAATCATTTGATTTATGTTCTTTATTATTAGAAACGACAAAAAACACCAGCGAAAGTTAAAGAATAAAATTAATGAAAGAAATATATAAACTATATGTCTATTTCTGACAGCGAAAGTAATAAAGACTTTAAAGATATTAATATGTACATTAATTTTTCAACATTATTTGTACAAATCATTAGCTTAACAATACATTGGCTAATAATTCAAACAATACAGAAAACTTGACATAATAAACAAATTAATTGAGTTATATGTTTATGGAATTGATATTTAATATTGTTGGATAACTCTAAAAGCTTATTGTTTCAAAAGCTCTCTTGCATGTATAGATATAGTATATAGTTTTACTTACAATAGAGTATTGTAGAATAGAGGAGTGCATGTTGCGCGCGCTCTGCGTGCCGGCCGTGGCGGAGTGGCTGCGAGAGGGCGCTGCGCTCGCCGGCCGCGCGACCCGCGAACTGACCCTGACTGGATGTGGCCGCCGCGTTTACATCTTACTCAACTCTTACCGACAATATTATGATTTATTATTACTCGATACAGCGATAATCTGTAATAAAATATTGTGCATTTCGCATAGTTTACGCAGATCTAAGGTAATTTTAGGTAAATTCCTTTAACTAGTGAACACCAATATACGCATATTTGTCGAATTCTTCTAGGATTTTTCTTTGTTTGTTGAATTTTTGTTCAGTGAAAAAAAATAGGGAAGGTGCATTTATGTCTCGTATTAAATGTTTGCACTTACAATCCTTCGGGTTTTCCAAAGATATTTCGCAGAATAATTTCCAATTCATGTTGTTCAAGTTTACCCAAGTTTACCTCAAGTGCGAAAAAGTGTTATAAAGATATCCTTCTCAAACGTTACCATTTAGTTTAAATCCTTAATTCGTAAACTAAATTTATTTAGAGCTTTCTAGTCAATTTTAACTCATTGTTAGTCCTTGAGAACGAATGCAAGCACGTTGTGCTTTGGCCTACTTAAGTGATAAGCCATAAAACTTTTAGACTATTTATTTTTACACAGGTGGACATTACTGTCATTTAACGAGTTGTCGCAATATATGAATTGTACAGTTTTTTTTACGACAAATACGGAGGCTAGTCACAAACGGTCATAATTTTTTGAAGAGAAATGTACAACTTGGATATTGAATTTATTATTTTAGGCGAACAATTATAGTAATAATAGTGTTATAATAACTAATATATCACTATTAATATAGTAACAATTAATACAACTTCTAACTTTAAAGTAATCAATTGCTTTAGACTTAGATTCTATTCTTTACTACTTAAGACTTTTGTTAACGTCATTCCTTATTCTCTGTAGGAAAATGAGCGGAATCGTTAAAAGATGAGACTTTTATTAATACTAGTAAAAATAAAATAGCTTTATTGATTTTCCCTTTGGGTAGGGGACTGGAGTCCAAGCTAGGTTGGCACCCTGTGATGGATCACCAGGCCCCTACTTGTGCAAAACAAATCTTTTTAACTTTGCTAATCATATTGATATTCCTAATTATAATAATGACAAGATGCAACGTAATGCATGCATTACAATGATAGTAGATCGTCTGCAATAATAATTTTGCATAAAGTTTACAAAACAAAAGCTTTTATATTTTTTTTAAACGCCATCTACAGGCGAATTTATGTAACTCATCATTCCTTTCGTTCGTCATATGTAAATTCATTTGCGAACACATAATATAGATGGTGCTGTAATAAAAACACATAGAATTTCTCTGACTAAAATATTTTTAATACATTATTTTGTAACGATTCTGTTTTATGTATATTTATTTGCATTGCACTGCATGCACCGCATTTTTACCATATTTCGTTATTTGCGTTTTATCCAGAAACTTCGTTCAATGTTTATAACAGAACTCAGAATTTAAATTGATGATGACACTGAATAATTGGCCCCAGTATAATTAAACCGCAGTTAGTTAATTCTTATCGGACGCAAATAACTGTTTATAAAAAATGTCATTTATATAGTTTTAAATTTATAGAAGTAACGAAATGGAAATTCACTTTTTGACCGACTTCCTAAAAGAAGGAGGTACTCAAGTCGTCTGTATGTTTTTTTTTTAATTTTAATTATGGAGCATAATGATTTTAACTAGAGTTTTTTTTTTAATTATAAGTAGTTTTGTGTATAATATTGCTGCGATATTCTGTATTACAAAACATTGTATATAAGACACAAATTATTAGCTTTATCGTTTATTTATTTCAATAGATAAGAAGCTCAAAGTCCTTTTTGTCTCATAATTGTGACCCCCTTATTACCTTTATCTTAGGTCACGTTTATCATATGCAAGTAATACTGGAATATTCATAGGTAATGGAAAGTTTTAATTTTAACATATTGTTTTATTCCATAGAAGTTATATCTACTTAAATGAAGGTTCGGATCCGTGCCTTTGTTGTGATATAGTAGAGAAAAAAAATAAATGGTCATTGTTAGCTTTTCCTTAAAAAATGACTAGCTTTCGCCCGCGACTCCGTCCGCGTGGAATTAAAAAAAATGAAGTATCCTACATGTTCTTCCAGACTATCCTCTACATCTATACCAAATCTCGCCGAGATCCGTTTAGCCGTTTTGGGCTACAAACTATAACAAACATCCATCCATCCATCGAAACTTTCGCATTTATAATATTTGTAAGAAGTACGATTAAATAGTCAAGTGGCACACATTCGTTTCGACTGTAGATGTTCCTTTCATTCTGCTTGTCTGTTCTATTTATACCGTCGTTATATTTAGCATTACTAATAAAATCCCGACACTTCCAGTACACTCGTATTTGCTGACATCGTAAGTTCGAGAAAGTTATATTTGGGTTTGCATACGCAGAATAAAATTAGCTCCTCAAATTCTTATATATTACTAGTATAATCGTGTGAAATAAAACGCATTGAATAGTTTAAAAATAATATAATACTAAAACAAATGGATGCAAGTAAAAAATATATCTAGCCATAACATTGACTCTTCTTATATACAATTATTTACATACTAAATTAGAACTAGTATCACTCTCATTTCTGTACTTAAAATTCGCGGAACCTCCAATGTCTAAGTCCTTTGGAGACTATCGTCAAATATATTCGAATGGTATATGACATAGCCTCCGAATGACTAGAAGTGGCAACTGCGGTAAACATACAACGAAGAATATTGCAAAAGGGCTGAAGAGGATGCACGTCCCCAACCAGGCTATCAGAAACCATGTGGGTAGGAAGGCGACTTGCTCCAACATTATCGACGTCCGATGCCAACCGAATCCAGAAAGTTCATAGTTTATGACTATTGGAAATTGTTATAAAACTAAGGCTTTCATTGTACTCGTACTTAAGATCGCCATCTGGAAATAAAATTGTATATTGTTAAATCAATACTGTTAATAATAATTTTAACTAAGTCTACTGTTGAAGAAGTTGTAGGTATATAACGGTATTAATTTCAATCTCTGGCAAAATAAAAACAACAATATTTATAAGTCATCTTTAAAAATTAATCCGGTCGATTTTAAATCGTTTAGAAAACAGAAATAAGGCAATTAATTTAAATAAAGATTGTAAGAATACATTTATTTTATTTTGTAGTAGCAAGAGACAGGAAGGACACCAGGCGTTAGGGCATTGTGAGGTGAGCGCCGGAGACGAAGGGCTAAGGTAAATTAAGAAGAGCCATTTGGCGTATATTTTCATTTATGTTGCAGTTAGTAGGCGTCATAGAAATCTATATTGTCGGTAATGCTAAAACCGGCCCTGTCTGGAAAGTAAATCGGTCTGTGTTGTGACACACGGAACTTTACCACATCTAAAGTGAATGATTTGATATAAATCATGTGTGTTCATATAACGAATCAGATTCAAGGACTATAAGTACTAAAGACAACATTCTGTAGAGAAAATTCTCAAACAAAAGATTATAAAAAAAGTTAAAGCACGGTTAGTAAATAATTAAGATCTGTTAACAAAGGTAACAAGATAGAAAAAGCAGTTACAAAAATCACAACATAATATTTATATTACACGCTTTTTTATAGGTTATAAAATCTAAAAGTATACTACGCACTAGTGCGTATTTGTTATCTGTAAATTGTTTTAGACGTTATTAAGCAATATGTAAGTTGGCAATGGAAGGTTAACTCAAGGTTAATAACACGGAAGCTCGAGTGTTTAACTTTGAAACCAAACAGCTTTACTCTGAGTTTCCACCGCCAAAACAAGTTGTGTAACAATAATGTTATTTGTTTTAGAGAATCAATATTATGGAAATATAATACAAGACGCGGTGTTAAATCTCAGATATGAATTCGAGTACAATATGTTCATAACCTAATGATTATCATAGTAATATTATAAATGCGAAAGTTTAGATGAATGGATGGATGTTAGTTAGAGATTGTAGCCTAAACGGCAGAACGGATTTCTAAAAAAGTTGGTATAGACGTAGAAGATATTCTGAAATAACACATAGTGTTTTTGTTTTTTTTTTTTATTCCACGCGGACGGAGTCACGAGCGAAAGCTATTCATATTTGACGACTAATTAAAGTTCATTAAATCAAACCGCAATTTTTTCTTGTTTCTTCATTCATCGATATAATTCTAATCTATTAGTTTATCTGTTACATTATATAAATGATATTATTAGATAAGGAAACAATACGTTTGATACATGCCGTCTACAAGTCCGAGCCAAAAGTCTTATTAATATTCTGATAGATCAAGGGAGGCGAACATTTATGCATTAAAGTGCCATTTTTTAAACGAAATGTTTAATGTATTCTTAGAGGTGCCATGGAATATTTTGACTATGATTATTACGTCAATTCCATGGTGCACATCATACTAATCATACTAATATTATAAATGTGAAAGTTTAGATGTCTGGATGGATGGATAGACTGATGTTTGTTAGAGTTTGAAGTCTAAACGGCTGAACGGATTTCGATGAAATTTGGTATAGATGTAGAGGATAGTCTATAAGAACACATAGGCTATTCACTTTTGTTTTTTTCAATACCACGCGGACGGAGTCGCGGGCGAAAGCTAGTACTTCATAATTTTTCGTAGTGTTTTTATGATTATCGACGTGCCCAAAATATTATGACGTGTGCAATTTATGGCACCAGTAGGTACTAGTTGTTCACCACTCCTGTGATAGATGAATATGTACATAACGCTTAAATATTTTGCATGTTGTATTTAAGTGTAATTTCTATCTGCACTCTTTCGCATCGTACTTCATACTATCATACTAATATTATAAATGCGAAAGTTTAGATAGATGGATGGATGGAGGGATACTAAACGGCTGAACGGATTTCAATAAAATTTGGCATAGATATAGATGATATTCTGGAAGAACACGTAGGCTACTTGCATTTGTTTTTATTTAATTCCGCGCGGAAGGAGTAGCGGGCGAAAGCTAGTAACTAATCTTTATTAACGTAAATATGTGTTCTTACACAGAAAACAAAATACCATAACATATAAAAAATACTATAACATAATTTGAATTTCATTATTACACTATTGTTGGGTTTCTGAAGTTTCCATTTATTCATTAGTGTTAGATTGAACAGTTTCAAATGAGTAAAACTCAAGTTAAGTAGTTCGGAAACGCATTAATTTATGGAACCAATAACACTAACGAATAGTTAAAAGTAGCTGGGAAAACGGCCATATGTCGAATTAAAAAAAAAACTTATTTCCAAATCTCAATTGGCAATACAATTAGAATTAGAAATGCTTAATTATCAGATAATTAGCTTGCCAAATAGATATAATCAGAACGTTAAAGTATTCAAGACATGAATGGATATGCGCCAAATCATATGATTTAAATTAGATATATCAAAGTGTACGATTTATTTATGTAACTCTAATTAAAAAAGATACAATTAAATTCTCGATAGTTTAGAATGCTCTTTGAATCTCTTTCATTTGCAAAGATAAAAAACAAATGACTAGCGAGTTTCGGATTGTTGTAAGATTTAAATGAATTTTTCAAAGAAATTTGTCTAGACTATATTGTAATGAGACGCTTGCATTCTCTTTGAATAGTAAACAATCAATGGAAACAAAGAGGCTTTGTAGCAAAAAGATACAGCAGTATTATATTACAATATAATCTCTCGGTTTCAATGACCTCGTTAGAGCAAAAATACGGGGGTTAAAGATATCATCAAAAAGAGAAAACAAAGTATTCTTTAATAAAAACAGATTTTGTTAATTTAAGACAAGTCAAAATTACAAAAGAATCATTACATCATAATTGGAATAGCTTTTGCGCGCGTGTTTGTCCGGGTAGACATAAAAAACAAAATAATTAGCCTATTTTTTATTCTAGACCATGTTCTATATCCTTGCTAAAAGAGATCCGTTTAGCCGTATTCGATATATCTTTAAACATACAAACATACGCGTTTATATTACTAGCTTACGCCCGCGACTCCGTCTGCGTGGAATTAAAAATCAAAAGTAAGTAGCCTATATGTTCTTCCACACTATCTACATTTATGCCATATTTCACCGAGATTCGTCTAGCAGTTACAAACTCTAACAAACATCCATTGCAAATTTTGCATTAGTATTATAGTAAGATATATGCAATGTTTTAATACAAGTAGACACATTACGTTTAGTATATTTGTTGTCAGCAGTTCTCGACTTCACCTTGGACTGATATGTTTACACTACTATGTACTCTTGCACTTAAATATTCAAACTGATTGTAACCTTGCTGTTTCGTAAAATAACTGATAAGTCACGCTGAATTAATAGTCTATAAAGTTTACGACATGTTGGTCAATAATATTGAAAAGCAAAAATGTTAATACGTTAAAATGAACTGCTTTATTCATATAATGGAAGTGGCAGTTACTTAACCAATTGCAGTTATATTACTTGTTATAAAAGATTTGCTTTTGAATTTAAATTTATGAGGTTTTAATTGTATTTTTAACCTACATCATATGTCTTTTATTAAGTGAGTTTTGAAATGTTTAATGTAGTAAACAGCTATTTCAAATAATATTATTTGAACTTATTGTAAAGTTATTTGATACATCGCAGAAAATTCATCGAAAATCTTTGAAATGATATAATAGATATCATTTTACAATAAAAAAGTTAACAGTCGGAACATATACGTCTGTTAATATGTTACTAACAATGAAGTTAACAGGATTAGATTAACAGAGGTAGATTCCAATAATTATTTTATATAAATTATTATTGTCAAATAGCTTGATCCAGTTGTGTACGACTAACATTTTTGATACGCATTCTCTCAAGCATTTGTTTTATTTAAACTTGACACAATTTTGAACAATTACACAACGATAACAAGTTCTAATCTTATCAACAGATATTGTTTACGTCTACATATCGATCTCACCTTTATTTACAAATTAAACTGGACATACGATAAATCCTGCGTTGCACGATATACCATATAACAACAAATCACTTAAACACCTTTGTTCCCACGTGAGGGTAATATCACAGTCACTTTCAATACGCGAACACACGGTATGCTATGTTGTGGTACTGGTGGTTGTGGGCGCCGGGTGCACGCAACCGAAGGTTTCAACACTAGGCATTGCAGCTCGCTCTCTCACACTCGTCGCACGTTAGTACCCTCGAGTTGAGATAGAACCGCATGCTTCGTCAGTGGACGACCTTCTGTCCACCTTTATTGCTAATCAAGCCTCGTCTTTTGCAATCGGACTCACGCAGCTCCTTGTGTCATTTTTCTGTTGAACATCTAATTTAGGTCAAAGTATAAACGTGTTAACTTGTTTGTTTTTAAACGTTTATTGGCCGGCCTATTAAACTTTAATTGGTACAGTGATATTGCGCGTTATTTTAAAATATAAATACGCGGTTAAATAGTGAACCAGTCTCGAGTTTTATACTATTCCGTATAATTTAAAGAGTTAGGTTCTAGGTCTATGTATCGTAATGTAATCTGATACTAACTGCCACAATCAGGGTTAATTAAATGTGACCCTAAGTGTATTATATGAGTAATCTACGCTTAGGGTTATAAGTAGCCATTGTACGTTTTTGTGGTAAGATGTAAATTACAAGTTACTAATAAGTAAATAGTCAAATTAGCTCCTAACTAAATACTTGATGTCCAAATGTTACTACATATGTTGACCAACAATATTTACCACGTCATTTAACTCCTTAATAATGTTTTGTGTGACTTTAAACATTAACAAAATGTATATAATGAATCAAACATGACCAATTTATAAATAACTCAACGCTGATAACAAGTAATGCAATGTTTTGTGTTACTTATCGTCTATCCAGTTATTAGCAAAGCATATACGAGTGGTTCATCGAGTTATTACACTTTGTGTGATTGATTACGTGAAAATACCGTGACAAGTTAATGTAGACTTGATAATTAAAACATCTTATTGGTTGAAAAGAGGTATAAAGACTTAGCTTCATTGATACATGTTACTAATATTATAAATGCCAAAGTATAGATTGATAGATGTTTAACCACACGTTACTATCTGTTCATATGACAGTTGTTATCATAAAATTTTATAAATCTTTACATTTAGTAATAAAGATGTATATAGCAAAAAACGGTTGTTATTACATCATTTAATTCGTTTAATCTAACCTTGATTATATTCAATAAACTCTTATTAAGGATTCAACCATTCGGTGGACAACTTTCCCTTTTGCAGAACAGGTTTATCGTATACCAAAACTGCAATGCATTTTACTATGTGTATATATCTACGATAAAAAACTAAATTAAGTTAAACAAAGAGATATACGGAGCTAAACTTTGCGATGAACATGTGTGATGGTTGATAATAAATGCACACTTGTTTTTACTTGGTGCACAATAACTTCTGCTTTTAACTTATTTACCCCTGTGTTACCACCGCGGTACAATACAAAGGCTCTCATGAATTTAAAGCTACCAATGCCGAATATCTAAAAAAATAACATAATAAGTAACGAATAAGTCTTTCCTAGAGGATACTTATGACATTACCTTTTACCCGCGACTCTGTCCGTGTGAAATTTAGAAATAATAAAAAAGACTTGGAAAAAAACATAGCATATGTTACTTACTGATAAAAAAACCTTTCTAACGATGAAATAATTTTTATTATCCGGCCAGTAGTTTTTGAGCCTAATCATTCCAATCAAACAAACAAAGTTTTCCTGTTTACAATACTTTAATGTTTAACTTAGTATAGATTACTGTTTAGACTACAGTGACAATTGAATTTAAACATCTTAAAAAAAACTAAAACATGCAGTCATAGTAAAGTTCTAGAAAGTATTTGGTACACGTTTATTGCGTCAATTCAGTCATTCCTAGTACATTCTAGAGCTCGTTGACGTCTATTTTAATAAGCGCTATTTAAGGACTGATGAATGAAATTTATGGCTATGATATCATGATAGACAACGTCAATAAAAAGTTTAAATGTCCGAGCATTGCATGTAAGAACACTAACGGACTGTTGTACGATTACGTATCCATAGATTGGAATCTTTTCTCAGGTTTTCAGTAAGGGAAACAACATTGATTTTTTTACGTATCTTTCGTCAGTATTGTCAAGAAACTCAAAGACAAGATAACCAATTCTTACTGGACCATCGGGATAATGCCTATTCCCCCTAAGTTAAGGTAGGTTTCAAGCTCAGCGGAGAAATAAATAAGCTAACGACTTTCAGCAATAATAACTTAAAATCAAATAACCGTAGAAATATGTTTATCGTATCTACGATATACCTACGATAGTATAAATGCTATTGTTTCCCCTGCAGTCTATCCGAGTCTATTATGCTATTTCCAGTACAACTGTGACATTTAAAGCTCAATAGTAATACAGAAATGTATATACTGATTAATGCACGACCTTTTTATTGCGGCTTTGCCTTTGTGTTGATTGCTCGACTTCGTAATACACCGTGTGGACATGTCGGTTAATATTATTATGATGGAAGTACACGTATTTGCATTACAAGTTGATGGAAAAAATTTAAACAATGTCAACTTTGATATATGATATTTACATTTGTCCTAGATTGTCAAAAGATTAAGACAATCATGTAATAAGGTGGGTTTTTGACCGGCTTCCCGAAAGAATGAGGAAATCAATTCGTCTGATTTTTCCTAAATATCTCATTCGTCGTCAGTTGAAACTTATCCCTAAGGAGGGCCCAAATTGGTGTGATAAGACCTTAACTTAATTTTAACTTAGGTATATGTCATGTTCAGTTACCTATTTATATACATACATTTTATCAAGACGATGTTCTTTATCTACATATATGTAAGTGCAATATAAGACGGTTTTAGTTAGGTAACTAGCTGTTCCGGTGCGACTTCATCCGCATGAAATTATGAAAATTTTATGTTATTGTTTACATTTGTCAAATTATCAATTAAAAATGTCAAAATGACGACATGATGACAACCTTGCTTCCTTGATGTTGGCAGCAACTTATGGTCTCTTTCCCACATTTGGGTTTTTATCCAAAATATTTACCCCCTAAGTTTAATCGCGTGAAATATATAGCCTAAAGCGTGACGCAAGTGTAGGTCTTATTATAAAAAAAATAATTATTCAAAAATGTGCTGTAATTGCGGACATCTTAGGCAAAAAGAAGTGTATGTTTACGCTTTATTATAATAGTATAGTATAGATATAAAAAAAAAACTTGAAAGTTGACTATAAACAAAATCTAACTTACAACATGTACAAATATTCCTCGTTACTTTTGCTCGCCTGTCGCTGGTAACCACCGAACTGGGAACCTGTGGAGTTACAATCAATTAGTAACACGGCACGTGGCTTGAAGCCATTGAATCCGGATGCCTGATTCAATTTGCATTTATCATTGAAATTCCAAGAGAATGTATTTATGTAACAAAGAACAACACGTGTAACAAAAATAACTCTTGCATGTGCAATTGCAATGCAGTTAATACGCGAACGGACAGTTTATAAAAGTAACAGAGAAAATGTATTTTATTCCTGTATTCTAAATTGTCGGTAGTTCCAGTAAATAGTAGTAATTTCATCGACTCTGGCAGTTCAGGCTTTCTGCATGGGGTGCGAGGTTTAAGGAATATTTATATTCTTAAAAAAATCCAATATTCATTATTATGGGATGATTTTGCATCACGTTTTCGTAGATGCGCCTCTTATGCTAATTTAGACCAAGAATTTAAAAATTATTAATAGTGTAAAATCCGCATAGCGACTGATCGGATGGTCTCTGAGTTTTAATAAAAAAAATAAACAGGTTTTTTTAAATAAAACCTGTACTTAACTAATCATATTATTTGAAATTGTTATTTTAATAGCATTTTGATACAAAAAAACATTAAAACTGGATTGAGTATATTACATAAAGTGGAAAGAATCACAAATCGGTCGATGTCGAAAACAACGATGTTATTCCAAAGTACAGTTACGCTTAACTTTGTGTCTGTTTTTTGTGTGTTTTGTGAATGTTGTGTTCGTGCGACCATGCACGTTCTCCAATTTTAAAAGTGACGTGATTTAGGACACGTACCCATTTACCCTTCTTGTGTAATGTCTACACACCACGTAATATAAGTTACATTTGTCATAAACTATTAAAGGAATAATAGTACTCAAACGTGTTATCACCAATCGTTTAACTTTATATAGCTACTGCATGCATTTTAGAACAAACATATTACATAAACAGCAACATTATAAAGTAAACTTTAGAAGTATCTACGCGTGTTCAAAATAAAATTACTAATTTATTAATTAAATAAATAATACAATTAATAACAACCGACTCACCTGATTGACAATTATCTGAATTAGTAGAACTGGCACTACTCTCACTTTCCGACCGATTTCTTGAATTGAATAACAAATTCCATGGATTGTAAGAAGCGTTCTGTGTTCTATTTTGATTCTTCGAATCGGTTTTCCTTGTTGAATCCATTATACTTCAATACTTTGTCTTGATTTGCTTTGTTTGTAGCACTTTTTAATTTTGTATAGTTATTTGTTAAAGTACTGTCGCACACACCGGCTGATAGGATAATAATATTGTGGCAGGCGGAATGCAAACAACAAACCACGGGCCGGCAGCGTCGCGTGGCGGCGGGGCGACGCAACAACGGCGCTGCTATGCCAGGGAGCGTCGAAGCGTCAGTCGTTGTTATGGACCGATGTTGCCCGACACCTCACGGAAATACTCGAAACCATGTTTACGCGGACTTTGCCCGATGCAAAGACATTGCTTACAATTTACAAGCTAAGCAAATAGTAGGGCAAACCAGCCAATGACGTAAGCGCATAATTACTACGCGGTGTCCACAATTGGTTACATTCTGTTTCTATTTTAATGTGTAAAATATGTGGAATACAATGTATGAATGTACAAGGATTTGTGTTACTTTAGCTTTAGACTACAGTACAAAAAGCTTCTAACAAAGAATTTAACCATAGAAGTATTCCTTGGTTTTCTTTTGAATTACGCTATTTTAATCGTGTTCGAGTTATAAGACTTATTAAGTAGGTAATTGATATTGTATTTTTTTTTTACATTTTGAGGTGGCAAACGAGAAAGCGGCCACCTGAATCCGCCAAAATGGTGAAGCGACCGCTGCCCATACACATTCGCAATAGCGGATGCGTTGCCTATACTTAATCGACGGGGGAGAAGACGCACATAAAAAAGATGTTTCCCCTTCCTATGCGTCTCCTCCGCCGTCAAATCCACGTTCACTTCCTTTGTTATGAGAAAAAGGGTGGGAAAGAAAAGGGACTAAAGTTAAAAGGACATCAGACGAAACGCGGAATTGCTCCCACTTCACGCCTGTCTTCTGTGTGTTGACTTTTTCAACGTTACAATCGCCTTGGTTAGATGCAAATTATGACATTGAGCTGAACGCCTTTGCAAAAGCGGCCTCTGTCGAATAAAACTCATGTTTATTTTGAGGTTACATTAAGGAAAATGTTTTATTGTTTGACCGGCGATTCAAATGTAATGTGAATGTAGAACTAAGTCTTCGTCAAGTTTTTACACATAAACAGATACAAATATATTAATCAGGTTATTGTAAAATCAATTCCGTGATTCTACAAGTTAGCATTTTTAGTTACCTTCTCTCTGTCATTACGTCGGCAAAATGTCAAGGCTACACTTTACATACGTTGCTGACGCTGCTTTGTTGTTGGAAAATACTGACCGCGAATTAAGACGGATATCTAAAAGCCTTAAAAGCACATTTATCCTATATAGGAGTTCAAGAACTGCGTTTTATTCATAATTTTTTAAAAAAATTAAGATCGATTTACTATTTACCCTCTTTAAATACAAATACATACATTTAAAAAATACGAACGTCCTCAAATCCATAAACAATATAAATGACAAGATAGTGTCATTTTTGACAACAAAAATCGATGATTTTAAATCTTTACGTGTCTTTTGTAATACATTAATTTAATTTTATATCGACAAAATGAAGATTCCTTACGTTGTATCAACGAACACGAGACATGCGTATCGCACGGCCGAGTTTATGCAACAGTCTAACGGCGAAGTGCATCGCAGAATATTAGCAGAAAATTTCGAATGGGACGATGGTTACACACCTGCACCACTCTCGTTATTAGCTGCTGGTGCTCTGTCGAAGATTTTCCATAGAATTAATCCACTACACAGAATATTAAGAAAAGACCGAGATATTTTAATGGATTTATTTCCAGCTGACATCCCCCTCAAATATAGCGTCCGTTTAATAGAGGTATTTGTGCATTCAAAACAATAGTTTACAATGTTAAATAGGCATCATATTATATTTTTTATAATTCAGGATGAACAATACTGGAAGCGCTCGTTCAATACCAAGTTCCCAACGAGGCTGGAACTTGGAGTATCCTTCTGGAAAGGAAAGTATCTATCGACATGTTTGCAAGAATACTTGGAAAATGCTAAGCCTGATTTATTCCTTGAGGATGAAGCAACGGAGTTGGCTTCTTTGGTATTTACTTAATACCATTTAGATTGTATATTTGTAATAAAACTGTAGTTAATCTAAGATTGAGTGTTATATAGTCCTGCGTAAGTTATTTCAAATAACGTGCTGTTAGGAAGAAATCAGCGCAACACTATATCATCGGCATACACGTCCGTCCCTATGACATCTGTCAATGTCATTCAGAAGTATTGGGAATAAACGCGCCATTATGGCGGGAATCTATAGTGTTACAAAATAATAGAAACGGAAGTAGTAGTGATAGAATTCACCAGTATTGCTCATATTACCGCTCGACTGTCATATTTTTTAAAAAGTCATTTGTATCGAAATTTATAACAATAGTTTAATGTTGAAGTTATTTACGTTAATACAACTCGTTTCAAAATTTATTTTACCATATACAATTTTATCTATGTAGCTAAAGTGATTTCATGAACTCCGTTTTAGTAACACCAGTTTCATTCCAGGTTAGTCCTTATATTTACCAATTAGGATTGAATCAGCTACAAATAATTCGTCAACCAACGCCACCGGTTCCGGATCCTAATACAGTCGAGGACAACTGCGAATTTAGCGTACCTAAATTATACGACCACATACCACTAGAGCCTGTCCTAAGAAAGTTGTATAATCTGCAAGAAATATCTCTGGTCTTTGGACTAAATAATCTCGGTGATGAATATTTGCCAAGATACTTTGAATTTTCTATACAAGACTGTGAATCTTTATGCAGAGGTCTCGAACACTTGAATCATATAAAAACAATTCGTATAAATCGCAGCAACTTGGACTGTTCGAAGGTTAAAGTGATTCTGCAGAATATTGTCAAGAAGGAAACTATCGAAGAGTTAGATTTCAATCATTGCAAGATTGGCGATTATGGAATGAAAGCTCTTGGTGGTTTTATATACGTTCATAAGAATATAAGGAGAATCCGTATCGCTAATAATAGATTTAAAGAAACAGGTGTCGCGGGTATAGCGTATGCATTGCAAATGAACCCAGAGGCGCCGATCGAACTTATTGGCAAGTATTTATATAGTTAGGATCTGTTAGTTGTGTTTATTGAACCTTGTTTAATGTAAATTTATTTGTCTCAAGACTTCAGTTTGAATCCAATGTCGCTACAATGCGCTACAACGTTTGCGGCTGCGTTTGTACGTTGCAAAGAAAAACCAAAGACGTTGATTGTCAACTCCTGCGGGTTCCGAGGAGCGAGCGCTGAGAAGGTTTGTAACAGTAACAATCAATAATAAAAACACAATGAAGACGTACAGGTGTAGACAGGAATATAGTACTACATGCTCCATAACTTGGATGTTCGACTATGGTACTAAAATGTAACGCTAGATAAATTCATATTTAAGTTATTTCATATTACACGTTATCCATCCTGTCAATACAACGCCATTTTATCAGTCATTAGCAACTAACAATGTTTTTATTTAGCATTCAAAGAAATTGATAAGGTAATCAATGTGCAATTTCATAATTATGACTAACAAAACAATAAGCAATAATAAACAGAAACGTCTAGATTATTTTAATAATAATAATAATAATAATAATAATAATAATAATAATAATAAAGCTTTTATTTCCCATTACACACATATGTACATACATAACATTTAC